TCTAATGCGCTATCTTCAGAGCTGTCAACTGAATGTTCTCGGAAGCTGTCCATCACCGTCGTCATGTGTTCGTTCGACTACGAATCAGCCGATCTGCTGCAGTCTAGCAGCTAAATGTCCAAACGATCGCCACCCATACATCATTCCCGGTTTTTATAGCATTCTTTGACTTAAGATATTACATGTACAACCTAAGAATTAGTATCAACGGTTGTCATTGTCTTCATGAATTTTGCTCACAAATATGGGTCGTCTGAGCACGTCTGAGCAATATGCAAAAGAGATAACTTTCTTCATAGTATGCTATTTTGTTCGCTGTTGATACATTTTGGTTCCTTGCACCACAGCTGGCAGAAGTTGAAGTGAATGAACAAATTGATTGCAGAAGTACTATGGTGCTTGAACCAGGTAATTCAGGTGGACCTTATTGAGACATGGACACTTATGCCTAAGTAATTTCGCTCTTTTTACAGGGTCAGATTCACCGGTTAGCTGTCAGCCGAACGATAGCCATTGTCCGGCCGGTAACGAATGTGTTGAAAGGTAAATGCAGTTTATCGCCGATCATCTTCATCACACGCGTATCCTTATTCAATATTCTGAATAGTGCACATGAAGAATTGTGATTTATGGATCTAAAATTGAACCAGTCATAACATCCACGATTTGTCGTTGAGGAGAAAATGTTCAGTGTTGCGGGTTGTCCTTTCGCCATTTATGGTGACAATCGAGAGGAACTGAAGAATCTCCGTTTCATATTTGTCACATCAGTGAGAATACGCTAAAAAATATCGAAATCCTCGAAACTTTATTTGCAGTTCCATTCTTGGATTCCATTTATGTTGTTCGGCGTTGTCAAAAAATGTATCGGCATTCAAACGGCCATCTCGAAACAATTGCCCAAGAAATATCCGTACAAATAGACAATCTTGTGAGGTGAACGCGATTGGTGTGTGTCCATTCGGATATACGTGTCTCGCTCGTAGAACCTCATCATCAAACACACGAGGTTCATGTTGTTTTGCACAACCGAAATGTCTTATCGGTCAACCGAAAGTGGTCAGTGGAGATCAGGTTTGACACTTTCCATTACCCAATTCATTTCTTACCGTTGTTCCCGATTGAACACAAGTGTATCGGAATTTCGAGATGTTATTTGA